TAATAATTTGATTAAGGTGTTTACCTGTCTATACTGCACTTCAGTAATGCGAATAAAATAGGAATACTCCACATGTCTTAATTCGATTTCTGTTTACTTCGAATATGACTTTAGCCGGATTAAGGTAATCAAAAATCTCTGTTTACATGGTAGATTCTTAATCAGAGTATTGTCTTAATCGTGTTAAAATCGGATTATTGTTGTCCATGTAAATGTACTCAGTGATTCTGGTTTTTATTTTTATTTTTTCTGACATGTTGTTCTAATTGATACATGAGCTTTCCTCTCCTATGAATGGCCCGAGAGCGAGAGACCACCCGCTAAATAGCCCCCAGCTGCAGCGTTTCTCTCACTGTGTTGAGGTCGGATGTGAGTGGCACACGGAGTAGAGTTTTAAAGAGGTCACCGGGTTGACACACAGCTTTTACTCGGTTAAAGAACCACATTGAATCACTCAGTACTTTTTTTTATGCCTGCCTTTTTGCAAAGAGCCAAACCCTCAGCTTTCTGCCGCACAGCTTCACCGGTGACCGCATTGATTTTATAGTATTTCTTGGCTTACTCCAGAGCACCAGTCATTTGGTGATGCAGTGCACTAAAGCTTCTCTCATGCTTTATCATCGTAAAGCATCTCCACTACGCTGCACAAACAGCAGCAGGCGGCCAAGCCACAGAGGTCCTCTCAAATTAAACGCTTATTTAAATCAAAGTGAAAAGTGAGTACCGAGCTTTGTTGTTCAGAAAATGAAAGTGGAACTTCAGAAATATGTGATGCTGTAGAAAAGGGGGGCATTCAACAGAAACTGCTGCTACACATGTAATGTAGAGCACTAGTGTCTTATAATTGGTGTAGAATACCTGCAGAAAGCAATCTGTAAGCATTCCCATTTATCCCAAGGCAGCTGCTTTGCCATATATGCTTGTAGGTACTCCATTCCAGGTTTTTGAACCAATCACCTAAGCTGTGAATGTGTGTGACTGATCATTCTGGAGCTGTAAAAAAACAAAACATAACCAACAGCATAAGACAATAACTCCCAAACCACTTCACTAACAATTAGCCTTTGCTATGACATCAAAGGCAGCCGACTGGTCAAAAGGCAGTTAGTTAGGGGCAGTAAGTTGTGACAGTAAAGACAAAGATAATATTACAAAAGAATTGTTTTTTTTTACTTTCTATTCATCAACAAATTCCGAGAAAAAAAATGTACCACAATAAAAAATAAATAAATAAATAAAAATAAGAAATGTTTCAGCACAGAAATAAATTACTTTTTAAAATATATTAAAATAGAAAAGTTATTTTCAGTTGTAATCATTTTTGTAATAATTTAAATTATGTTTATTTTTTGATCAAATAAATATAGCCTTGGTGAGCATAATAAACTCTAAAAATTAGAAAATAAAATATAAAAACTTTTGAACTTTTGGTAATTTTAATATTAGTGTAATTGCTTGTATTTATGGAAAACAAAGATACTGGTTAAGTTTTTTTTTTTTGTTTGTTTGTTTTTTTGGCAGAGTAAAAAAAAAAATTAATGTCTGACATCAGCAGATCATTTTCTAAAACTTTTTAAACAAAACATTCAGAGCTTACCATTACCTTCACATTCTCTTTTGTTGTTTTTTGATAACATTAATAAAAATGAAAAAGAGAAAAAATGAACACATGGCCTTTTAATTGTCTCACTATTACGGTTAATCTGTTGTTGTATAATGCCTACAAAGTACCAAGGCATTACTTTGAAACAACCGGAACAGTATGTTGGCTCTACAATAAAACTTTGATTCCAGTAACTGCAAATACATCCAGACTCTGAGCTGTAAAATGCAGTGGGCATTATAAAATTTATTCAATGATTAATTATTGAGCTATTCACAATTTTACAAGAGAACACCAGGTTATTTTATTGAGCCCTTGCTTATTTCATGTAAGGCCAAAAATACCACTTTTGCACTCTGAACAATACATAATGTCAAATAAGAATTTTGTGCACATGATGGGAGCTAGTAAAGCTGTGCTATTCTTAGACTTCCATGTCAATTCATTTTGACAACTACTAACAACAACATTACCAGAAGAAAAACAAAAGGAAACTTGATGGGTACTACAATGTACCCTTAAATGTTTCTCAAAGTTTAAAAGAAGCAATATTGCCACGAATAGATAAAGAAGCAGTAAAACGTAAAACTGCTAATGAGTCATTACCTCACAGTTTCACAACCAATCAGATTCTAAATTCAAATGGCCCAAATTTGACTGTTGCCAGGGATTAAAACTGGTCTAAAAAAGAAACACAATCATTGGCAGTTCATTTGTCAATCCATTCCCTTTCCTCTATGCTCCAGTCCAGTTTTTGTTAATTTTACATTTAGCTTTTGCTTTAATAAGTATAATACTTACCTTTACCCTGGTGGACTAACAATAGACCAAAACATTTTATATCATGTCAAGGACATCAGAATCACCACCATGTTCCCCGACTTCCAAAATGCCAATTTAACCCCTGGATGTGAAAAAGAGGAAAATGATAAAATAGAAAAAATAATGCAACACTTTCATTATATTTAAGCACTGTCTTAAACAGGGAGCAAATTCCATACCCATGAGCCCTTTCATTCCAGCTCTCACCTGACATACATGGTGTCATGAGGTTCGTTGAAGGATGGACTCATGTTGGAAACTTTGCTTTGTGTTCCCAGGATGAATTTTCCATTTCATACTGAATTTGTGTTGTTATTATTATTATTCAATTATATGCTGTGTAAAATGTGAACCACCTGCTGCAGAGCCTTTGGGGGGAGAAGGGAAATATCTGTTCTCAAGGAGCGGATTGATGCCTGTTCCCTCCTCCAGCTCCCAACTAAACCCAGACCTCCATCTTCAGTACTGCCCTGTTAATCATTTGGAATCCATACTAATAAATGTCTTATGTTAGCTAGGGCCTGTCCAAAGGCATGAAGGGCTTTGTTTGTATGGCCTGATACAATTCCAATCATACCCTCAATAAAAAGAGATATACCTACTTTTCCCAAGGGTTGACAGCATCACTCTGCAGGAGGCACTTTGCTGCAGTTTCCTGCTGCATTTAAGTGAAATTTCCTAAACAGAAACTCCCATTAGTGAATAACACGAGACCACTAAAATCTGATGGACCACCTGAGCATTCAGACAACTCTACCAGGTCATAACCACATCCATTGTTTTCTGTTCCAGTTTCACTAGGATAAATGTGGGTCTGAGCTTAATATTGCTCTGGAAACAATTTGTTGAACTCACACATGACTAATGCTATTACACATCATCATTGTCCATCATCTCAGTAGGCTACAAAAACAATTTCAAAAGCAGATGAAAGAATCGGTTATACACATTTACACGTTACATTTGCAGATTATGAATCAAAGCCGCAATATCTGATCACTGAGGTTTAGCTCATTGAGTGAAACAAAAGCGGAAACATTTGGATGCGTAACGATTATGAAGACAGCAGGCCTTTTGTGTACATAGAAAAAGCCTTAGATCTTTGAGTTCAGCTCATGAAAAATGGGGGCAAAAACAAAAGTGTTGCGTTTATAATTTTGTTCAGTGTATGACAACACTACTACAAACAAAGCCTGGATGAAGAGAAGTTAACTTTGAATGTTTGGTTTAATAACTTATAAGACATACAAATTTGTTTCTTTAATTATAAAAAATACTTCTCATTGCAAAATGAAAATCAGGAATGGATTGAAACTAAAAATCCGCCAAACACAGGGCAATGGTGACATCTGAATAGTAATATTGATAATTCTGTTCAGCTGAAAATATGGGATTATGTTGCTTTCACATTTTCATGAAAAACACTCTGCTTGTATGATCAATTTCTTTTTTAGAAATTCTCATTTTAATATCTTAGAAAACAAAATAGGGGCACAAACTTTTTTTCCATACTCGGTTTTCTTTTTCCATACTTCTCCAGACATGGAAATTACTCAAATAAAATTCCATACTTTTTCATACTGCATTGGAACCCTGGAATTATTTCTGATGGATCATGTGACACAGAAGATTGTAATAATAGCTGCTGAAAATTCAGCTTTGCCATCACAGGAATAAATTACATTTTAAAATATAATCAAATAGAAAACAGCTATTTTAAATTGTAATAATATTTCACAATATTACTGTATTTTATAGCTAATAAATGCAGCCTTGGTGAGCATAAGAGACTTCTTTTAAAAACATTAATTCTTTCTGACCCCAAACTTTTGAACGGTAGAGTACATATACCTATTCATACCAGGTAATCATCTTTATCCCTATGGCAATACATTCCACCAGCCACTGCCAAAGTAAGCTAAGGTGTTACTGCCAACTATTGGGAAATTCTGAGACCCCTGGCCTGACTTCACAGGGATTGTTGTTGTCAGATTCTCACCAAAGTAACTGGATATCTTGCTTCACAAATGCACAAGACAAGAACAGATAACTTCAAAAATCTCCTTAAAGACCCCTTCTGTTGTCAGCCTAAGGGTGTGAAGCTGTTCCTGTACCCTTTACTCCTACAAGTTCACTACGTTCTGTTGTTATAGATCTTTTCACACAAAAGAACATAACAAACACACTGTAGCGCAGGTGTCTGGTCTTATCAGATCTGAACAAAGAAAAAACACGTCACCAAAGAGGTCTCTGTCTTTAAACTGATGTAAAACAGCCCAACAATGACTTAATGTCTACATGACTTAGTACGGTTACTGATTAATAGAAGAACAATAATCAGTTTAGCATCGTTTACTTTAAATTAAAGTTTGATATTCTGTTGGTTTAGACTCATGTTTATCATGTGCCTTCTATCCTAATCAAGATTATTTTATAATCTTGATTATTTTAAGTAACCAACTGTCGCCTCCAAGTAACATCATTGCTCGATTTATCTACCAGTAAGAAACTTTTTCATGAATTAAACATGTGGAACACAAGGTGCTAGAAATAAACAAACATTATTTACTGATGGTGTGTTATATAGCCTTAGACAAAAAGGCACTCTAATGAAGTTGAAATTCTGCCTGGGGCTCTGGAAAAATAATAACAGAAAGACCCTGAAAAATCTGTTTACCTTTGTAATATTACGGCACACCTAGACATTAAAATATACATAGTCTGGAACCTATATTTCACTCAGTACAGAGGCACAATTGTGTGTGTGACAGATCTAAAAATAATATATTATATAATATTTATATAATATATATTTGAGAGAAAAACATCAATAGTGCAACCTCTGTATTGGAAGTCAATATCTATCTACTTCATATAATCATCAAATAAATGCTCTTTTTGTTGTTGAGGCATGCAAACCTACCCTCTGGTCTGATCATCCAGTCCAGCCTTTTTGAATGTGGCAGCTTTGATGTTTGTCACGCAGGGTTATTTTGCTGTTTATTAAATTTGTGAGGAATCCCTGCATGGTCCTCGACAGAAAATTAAAAAAACAGGTACCCACAGGAATGGGCTCAAAGAATTTTGTAGAACATGACACCTTCATGGAAGAACATCAGAATGGATCATCCATTGATGAGTTTTCCTGTCACGGTTAAAGACAATAATACTGTTCTCCTGTCATGTAGCATGATTGACTTGAGTAGCCAGGAAATAATTTTTTAATTCAGTGGCCCCCCTTAGCGAAAATGCCATTTTTATTACAAATATAATAAAACAGACTGGCCATATTGCGGCTAAATGTAAGTCACTTAATATAATGTCTTGTTTGTAAATCTGTTGTATATAAATATCATAATCATGCCTTTGCACTGAATAAAATATCTGTTCCAGACAATGTAGAACCTGGAATTCACTCACCTTCTACTTGAAAATAACCACCGGTCTTCAGTGAGAGCATTATCTGATGTCATTTCCAGGATGGTGGCAACTAGACTGAACAATGTGAAGACAAAACATTTTTAGAAAATGTATTTGTTAAATATGGAAATAAAATGATTAATTTGAATTATGAAGTTGTTAAGAATGGTTACAGTCAAAGAAAAATATGACATCTGAAAATGCTGACAGCATCACAGTGAAATCAGAATTTATTTATAAGAAGAGTTTATAATAATTAAAATGGTAAATCATTATATGTTACCTTATTTTTCACTATGGCTGTTTTTAGAGCAAATGCACTCTGCAAATGCACTTTGTGTTCATGATTTTTAAATCATTACCATTTCTGCTGTAATTGGTCTTGTTTTGTTGTCTTTTCCTGAAATGTTGCATAAAATGCAGTACTAAATGGAGACTGCATTGCTGCTTTTGGCCATTGCATTATTCTGGTTGCATTTTAAATTGTTACATACTCTTCACCACAGTGAATACTTAGCTTGCATTACGATTGTCAAAATATTAGGACAGGATTAAGGATTTGTTAGATATTTGGTGGATGCTGCTGAAACATTCTTTACATCCATTATAAGTAGCCATAAAGTCTCTGAACCTTACAATCCTCGTCTCCATGCGTGCACCATTGGTCCTTTATGGCCAAAATTTGATAGTGTCTTCTATTAGTCTCGCCTCTCATCTCCTGCAAGAAATACACACATTCATTCAACACACAAAGATCTTATGAAGGGCAGATGGGTAGAACATGTGTTTGTGCCTTCTTATGTGGTATAAAAGCGATGTGCCGAAGTTCACAATAAAGCACTGAAGCAGTTTGTACCAACACATGGCAACCTGTCACAATAAAACTGATAAAAGAAGGACCTCTGCTGGAAGCTCCACATTTTTGTCCACATTTTGACAGACCTTTAAAACAAGGAAACAGGGAGTTGCTTCGGGACATTCTTGACTTGTACATCACAAATAACGTGTGGCAAATGGAAAACACGTGACACTGTCCATCGTGATGTTTGCGAGATCTCACATTTTACTTTGTGCCAGTTCTAACTTAACTGTTCTTATATGAGATCAAAAAGTCAGCCCTACACAACAAGTTTTGGAAATCAAATGACTTTCCAGTAACAGCTTATTTCAAATTGAGAGCAGATGATATTTAGCATAGTGATGTTTAGCATATGAATATTGACATAAGCTGTGTCTTCAACACTTGAATGAGTCCTAAACTCTGTTTTAGGCCACGTTTGTCCCTCTGGCTATCACAGGGTGATGTTTTACTGTTGAAATTGTTCAAGACCTCCAAATGCTATAGAGGAGCCAGATGTCTGTGTCACTGAGTGACAATCTTCTAACAGTGCTGTTTTATTTTTCATTCATTTGCAGAGCTGTTTTGTCTCGGTTCTGCGCACAAGCTATTTCGCTTTTGTCAGCAGTTTGGTTAATACAAGCGATGTGCGTAGAGTGGTAGAAATGTGGACCTTCAGAGACAAATATGGTCAAAGCTGCAACTGTATTCAAGCAAAACTTCCTTGATTATAATCTCAAGAGATCTAAATTGCATAAGGAGACAATTCACTCTCTGAAAGCAAACTAAAATTACACCTTTTTCAACAGGCGCAACAGCGAGGAGGGCCAGAGTCTTATGCCATTGTGCAAAACATCACTTTACAGTGTAGACATGTCATTGGGATGCAATGAAAACGTGGAATTTAGTGTGGTCCCACATAACCATGTGTGGGGTTTCTCCGCCATTCGAAATTGCAAGTTAAATATGTTTTGTCCTCTTAAGGATGCAGCCAGTGCATAATTAACATTCCCTGGCTGTTTACAGTTGATTATTTAACTCAGTGGTTTTCCCTGGGAGCTGGTGATTATGCTGCTGCTCGACTACTAATAAAGAAATCCCTTTGAAATTCAAGACTCATATGAAGGAGATTTGGCGGAGAGGAACCAGTTATTAAGACGGAGACCAAAAAAATCAGCACCATCCTCACATTCGGCTTACTGAAGTGAAACTAAACTGATAATTGGCACAGTAAGACAACATGAAAAGGTAACACTTTAGTACAGGGACCAATTCTCACTATTAACTATATTTGCTTATTAGCATGCATATTACTAGCAAATTGGCCATTTATTAGTACTTATAAAGCACATATTCTGCATGACCATATTCTACATCCTTAATCCTAGCCGATACCTAAACTTAACAACTACCTTACTAACTATTAATAAGCAGCAAATTAAGAGTTTATTGAGGCAAAAGTAATAGTTCATAGTTAGTTAATAGTGAGAACTGGACCTTAAAATAAAGTGTGACCCATGAAAAAATATGTTATCAGGAGTTCAGTATCAATTATGGCACAGTGAAGGAGGACAAAAGATAGATATATAGATAGATAGAAATAGATAGATAGATAGATAGATAGATAGATAGATAGATAGATAGAGAGTTAGTGTAAGGTCAAAAATTATCAAAGATTTCTGCTTTCCTGTCCCAAACCGAACTATAGAACAACAGACAGATAGAAAGACATAAAATAATATAACAGCTCCACAAATTATTTAATAGAACGATAGAACTATAGAATGATAGATAGAACAACAAACAGAGACACAGACAGAATGACGGATATATATAATGACAGACAGAACAATAAAACGACAGACAAAATGAAGGTTGATAGATCGATAGATAGACAGACAGACCAACCCACCGACAGACAGTTAGACAGATAGACAGATAGATGGATCTACAGAATTATAGATACAGTAGAACTATAGAACAATAGACAGATAGAATGACAGATAAAATAATATAACAGCTCTACAAATTATTTAATAGAACGATATATAGATTGATAGAATGACAGAAGTATAGAACGATAGACAGAGATACAGACAGAATGAAAGATATATAGAACGAGACAGAACGATAAAACGACAGACAGACCGAAAGATAGATAGATTGATAAATACAGACCGACAGATAGATAGATAGATAGATAGATAGATAGATAGATAGATCCTCCTAACACTATCTGGCCTCACATAAAGACTGTTTACAGTTTGGTTGAAGTGTCTATATGTCAAAACATTATCACATCCAGATACAGAAATCTTGAGCTAGACAGCTTGTGTTGTCATGTTTGCTCTCCCCAGTCTTGCCACATGAATATGCAGGCTTGATTGCCAGTGTTTACAATTCAATAAGTGCACGCAATTTAAAGGCTTGTGTGCATATATGCTTGTTGGTATAAAACAAGCAAACCACACACAAAACTAAACAGGCACATAGTGCTACTTTTTGACAGGAACATGCAATTACTTGTAGTTTTCAGATCCAAGCACTTCCTTTTTTACACATTTTCTTTTCCTCTTTGAGAATCCCATTTGGAGGAATAACCACATGTTGCACTGGAAGTGTCTCAAATGTGGTGACAGGAACACAGCGGATGAACCATTAAAATTCCTCTGGGATCGTATGGTTGTTATACACGAAAGCCATAAGGATCAGTGTCAGGTTTCTTTAAGAGATACAATAAATGTTGTGTGGACCTCTGAACCATGAGTCTTGGACACTTTTGTCAATTTATGTTACAGCAACTATTGTAACAAAAGCAATCCATAGCCATTTCAACACTTTCTATTCTATTCAAATCGCTTTTGTTATTTTTACTTATCACTATTCATATTATCATTATATTTATTGGTCATACCAACACTATCCTTAAAAACTGGGGAAAAAAAGTTTTTTGAAAAAAAAAATTACTTTAGAAAAATGAATACTTATATTAAGCAAGGATAGTAGTCCCTATATGACACCAAACGTCATTATGATTAATGACTTTGACCTTTGTGACCTTTCCCCTCCCCCCACGTAGCCCACCCACGTCGTGACCACCCACATTGTGACCTCATAATGACGTCCATATGCGAAAATCGGCATGCGTGAAATTCTGTTGTTTGTACAGATGTTTGGCCATGTCCGTCCAGTGACAAAACCATAAATGAGCTGTCAAGTAATGTTTTTGTAGATTTTATGGACCATTCCCACTTGCATGCATCTGCGGCACACGTGTTTGTGGTATCAGGTTTCATTCCAAGGTACACTTAGATAAATAGGCCCCGGCAGTGCTGTGGAAAATCAGAAAAGAGCTGTGAAATACATAGACATTGACGGTTTATACTCACCTAAAACTCCTGAGAAGGAATGGGATGAAGAGATGATGGAAAATCTGACTTTGGCACCGAGAAAGCCATACAACGTTAATTTGTATTTGACAAAGTTTCTCCACGAAAATACGGATTGTGTGAGAGACAAATTTTTTCTGATCAGCGTACGCATATTTGGCTACATATTTCACAAATCGTCTCGAACGGTTACGCTCTACACATCTGATGAGACCAACGAATTTGTACAGGATCAAGATCCCTGCCTGATATTACCTGATAAAGACTGGCAATTATTTTTCAATCGTATCTGGAAAGATCTGAACGATTGCGGAGAAGAACCTTTGTACGTTGCGGAGTGGGACGGGGTGGACCCAAATATCCGGTACCGAGTGGTCGGTGATCACGCCCAAAAGAACCCGGATGACTGCGTGTACATATTCGCCCGCGAAGACAGACAAAGCTTAGCGGTCATTCGGGCGGTGACCTGCATAAGGAATATCACGAAATGTTCACCCTGCAATTTTTATTTAAGTGGCGCGATCTGCATCTGCCGAGTGCACTTTTTTTGATCATAAACAAAATGTTCAAGTGGTGTGACATGCATGACGGATACAACCAAATTAAAACGCAGCTGTTTCACCCCGAGAGTTACCCCAGCAAAAGTTCAGGGGTGCTGCCGTCCCCACCCATTTACTACAGCCATTATAAAGAACAGTAAGTCCCTTCCCCCATCACATTTCCAACATGTCTCAAGAAGACTCTTTACGAAGCGATTCGCCTGCGAAGACAGACAAAGCTTAGCGGTCATTCGGGCGGTGACCTGCATAAGGAATATCACGAAATGTTCACCCTGCAATTTTTATTTAAGTGGCGCGATCTGCATCTGCCGAGTGCACTTTTTTTGATCATAAACAAAATGTTCAAGTGGTGTGACATGCATGACGGATACAACCAAATTAAAACGCAGCTGTTTCACCCCGAGAGTCACCCCGGTAAAAGTTCAGGGGCGTTGCCATCCCTGCCCATTTACTACAGCCATTATAAAGAACAGTAAGTCGACCCTTCCCACACCACATTTCCAACATGTCTCAAGAAGACTCTTTACGAAGCGTTTACGCTCCTTTCAACCTCAAAGCTCCTGATGATAATGCCATCGATTATATTCTGACAGACGAACACCACTCACCCGACCTGCGCAAAGAATGCTTGGATAAATTCTGCACGGAGCTCGGATATCATAACCTGAGCTACCTAAAGGACCTGTGCACTACCTCTGCCCACACAGGGTTTGATACCACAGACGGGTGCTTCAGCGGGATCGGGTTCAAAATCATAAAAGCCACGATCGTGCTGCTGCTGCAGCACATCATAGACAACAAACTGAGGGAGGAGTGCGAGGGTTGTGCAACAGACCATCCAAGCCAGCTGCAACATTCCTGCCTGTTTGAGCCTGCCGCATACTATTTCGACTCACGCTTTGATGAACTGTCCCGCAAACT